CTCCTGGGTTTCTAATTTGGATCCTGGGTAGATGGTACTAAATAGGTCAGAGAAAGGCTGCACATGCAAGAAACACTCGTTCTGTTTTGAGCAGATGGACTTAGGATTGCCTATAAAGCAATCAGGGAAAATCTGTTGAAGGAAGTAAGAAGTTTGGCTTGAGAGACAGAAGCTTGTCAGGGATTAAAGAGAACTTTCAATTGCCTTCAGGCTACCCCCTTCAAATAAGAACTTTCTTCATAAGTAGGGTGACCTCCTGCTTTATCTTCCAAACTGGGACACTCAGGAGATGAAGAGATGCTTATTAAAGATCACACTGGAATAGTAGAGCAAACTGGGACAGGTCAAGTCATCCTGGAGCAGATTGTGCCCCGTCCCCAGAGCACTGGCTCAATAAACAGGACACATCTCCTTTCACCGAACATCACTGTGAACCACAATCTCAATGTCACTATGAAATCCCAACCCCAAGTCCACAGCCAGGTGAGGAAATGTGCCCTACAAATCATAGAAACAGACACTGAAAAAAATAACACGCATGCTTCCCACTCCCCAAGATGAGGGACAGCCTGTGTCCACATGTGCTGGTGTTTGGCCTAGACTGCACTATCATAATGCAAAGGATGGAGATGGAGAATGTGAAGGTGGTAAGGAGGCAGATGGCAGAAACATCTCCTTGTCTGATTCCATGCTGGGTAGCATGTTATCTCAAACAACCCTATTTCAGAGATATCAGGGCCTGAGGCACCAGTCAAACATCTGAGTCATACACAGTAGGCTAAAGAAGCTGTCCATACACTCCCTCCAGTGATAGCTTCTGGTAGATGCTTCTGGTTTAGGAAATGAATGAGGCCCCTATCTAGAGGGAATGAACTAGGACAATGTGTCTCTAAAATGGAAGTGACATGTAAAAACCATAAATTAGCAAATGGATTTTGGGGTAACATGTCCCCGAAGAAAAGGCCAGAAGATGGTAGAACACCCATGATGAGCCAAAAGTATTGAGAGACTATGGGGAAAAGACACCAAGAAAATCAAGGAGTCTCAGTGTAGGAGCCAGCATCGCGTGAACATTGACTATGTAGAGCATTATCCCTTCTTGTTATTGCTCTGGCTCTCTGACTCTTTGGGATACCTATGTAGTTTTACAAAGTTCAATTTGTGTTTCTTCAAATGTTCAGAATTCTGGACCGGAATCACAGTTTAGTCCATCATCCATGGACTTCCTGGTACATTTAATCATGTCAGTGAGCAATGAAATCTCTTGATCAAAGCCCTAACACCTCCCCCTTCACACACACACACACACACACACACACACACACACACACACACACACACCACTAGAGCCTAGGCCCACCAGCTATTGCTGAATACAAGCTCCTTCAGCACCTGCCAATTATCCTCCAACAGAAATAACTGAGTTAACTACTTACGACGGCAGTGTCATTGTTTCATTAAAGTTGTGAAAAGTCAGACCTCTTAGAAGTGACAGTAACTTTGCCCCAGGTCTAGAAAAGAGTCAATAAATATATATGGAGCAGGAAGGAAGAAAACAGATGGGAAATCCCCTACAGTGACATAAAAGTAGGACAAGGGGGGTAGTTCGGCGGTGGAGTGCTTGCCTAGCATATGAGAAACACTGGGTTCCATTGCCCACACTAAAAGAAGAAAAAGAAGAATTACAGCATAATGCACAATTTCCTGGACAAGAGTACCATGAGGAGAGTTATGTGTTTGCAGGAACATGTCTTGTTTCTTAGTTTGAGAAATATACTGCAGCTTGTGTAAAAACTTTCCTAACTGCCTAGATGATTCCAGAATACAACTGCTGCTATAAACAGATGAGCTCTGCAGACAGTGCTCAGCAGGCTGTCGATGCAGGAGGCATTCCTTGATGGACTAATCCTTAAGAGCCTCCATTTAATTGGTTTTAATGGAAGGAAAATCTGCCAAAGTTGCTTTCTACTCTTCTATCGGGGTCTCAAACAGGAAGACAACCGAGCTCTGACCTTTTCTTCATTCCACCATCCCTCCATGCTGGTACCTTTCAGAAGCTCCAGGCAGAGAAGGGACACACCCTGCCCAGGCTGGATGGCCAGTAGGCTAGACTCCACCACCCAACTTGTCCACAATAATCTTCATTTTGCCCTAGAGACTCACTTGACTAGGACAAACTCAAATGTAGACAATGATATCATACAATTTCTAAAAGGCTCCATTCCCAGATTCTACAATGATGGAGTGGTTCAGAACTTTACAAAACCCCAGAATGCCTTTCTCAGGATCTTCAGAAAGCTATAAGCCTGAGTGAAGTGTGAACATACACCTTTAGAATTTTTTTTTCCTAGCGTAAATACACTTTCCTGCAAAGATTCACCTTCGGCTGTCAATCATGTGTCAGACCATCTGTATCTCTGCCCGCTGTTCACATCTGGAAGTGTGCATGGAACAATCTGGTATGCACTTGTTTGTATTGAAGCTTTTTCCCTATTTCCAAAAATACACTGAAGCTAGTGCGAATGTGGCATATACAGCAAGCCAAGAATGCCTGTGTGGTCTTGGAGACTATGTAGGCCCTGTGATCATTGTCTAGTCCTATGGTCCAGTATTGACCCAGAAATATGCTGTGAGGAAGGGCTACAATAAGGGAAGAACAGGATGCCTTAGAAACAAAACCACAAGAAAGGGACTGATGCCACTGAATTTTGCCAAACACCAATGACAACCATGCCACTAACGCCTGTGAATTAGAAGTCGTGTTCGTGCATGTGTGGCTACTGATGGTTCTCAAGGCAGTCAGAAGGCAATGCAAGCATGTGCAATCACCTGGTGTGGTTCTCTGGGAGCCCACACAACTTGAGAAGGTGCTCAGAAGGTGCTCAGGAGCTGTGCGTTTCCAGAGTTCTCCTGGGACCTCAAAGGATGTAAAGGGCTCCCACTCTCTACTCACCTACAGCCCCACATAGAGAGCCCAGCACATAGCAGCCAGGGTCAGAGGCTGAATAGCTGGAGCTTGGAGGTTAACACATCCAGCTGAGTTGTCACTGCAGGGAGACAGGCAGGCAGTATCCGTGTCTTCTGGATCCTTCCTCAGAAATTAGGTGTCAGTGATTCATTCTGAGTTTGAATTCTTTACAGTGTAAACATGGAATGACTATCGGGGTATGTTTCCACTTATCTTCTTTTAGCCATACTGGTTAATCCTCTCTGTCTCTGTCTCTGTATCTGTCTCTCTCTCTCTGTCTCTGTCTCTGTCTCTCTCTCTGTCTGTCTCTCTCTGTCTCTCTGTCTGTCTCTGTCTGTCTCTGTCTCTCTGTCTGTCTCTGTCTGCCTCTGTCTCTCTGTCTCTCTCTCTGTCTCTCTCTGTCTCTCTGTCTGTCTTTCTCTCTTCTCTCTCTCTCTCTCTCTTTCTCTCTCTCTCTCTCTCTCTCTCTCTCTCTCTCTCTCTCTCTCTCTCTGTGATCCTCAGGCAGAGTCTATAACTTTCTACTCCTTTTTCAGTTTGTGAAACTCAATCTAATTCGAATTAAAATTTACATTTCCATACCCAACTGTGAGCCTAGCCGAGGAAGATTGAGAAATAGGAAAGACTCTCCTTGTTTAATTCGCAAAGGTTGCAATAATTCTGCCTGGAGATAATTAATAGATTGTCTGATCCTCTATGTCCCTTTCTTCACAAAGTTTCAAATATTGGCTATCCCCAGGAAAAGCCGAGAGGACCTGAGAGACATAGGCCTGAGTGGCTCTCTCTATCTCTTTCTCCCTCCCTGTCTCCCTCCTTCCTGTCTCCATTTCCTCTCTTTTCCTCCTCCCTCCCTCTCTTTTTCTCTCCTTGCCTCCCTTCATTTATCTCTTCCTTTCTTCTTGTTCGCACAGTTCATCTCTCACAACCCGGTTTTATGGTCATTGTTCACAGGTGTTCTGGAGTTCCCCAGTTCAAGCCCAAACTTATATTATCTGCTTTTATATTATCTGCCTTTGTCATACTGGTGATAAGTTACTCAGCATTACTAAGTTTTGAAAGCTTCACTGAGGTTCTGACTCAGTAGTACTCAGAGTACAAGTTGTTCCTGCTGCTTGGGCTGCTCTTCCCTCTCCTGAGGATAAACCCATAGGTATTCTACCTGAGACTACCTGGGTTCAGACACATGGTGCTTTATAAATAGCTTCTAGATCTCAGCCAATAGCTGTCTCCTAAAAGATGTCTTTCAAGGAGCTAAGGTCTTTGCATTATTCTGTCATAGACTGAGTCTGACATCACGTAGTTAGCCATACACCTATTTGCAATCAGTAAGTTACTAGTTTTTCTACGACTGCCATAACAAAGTACCACAGATCAGACAGCTTAAATTGGAGAAATTTGTTGTCTCCCAGTTCTGAAGGTCAGAGTCTGAGACAGAGATGTAGTGGGGTTAATGTCACCAAAGCCCACCCCTCAGCTTCTAGATGATTGCCTTCTCCCCTCATCCTCACATGACAGTCCCGCCATGCGTGTGTGTGTGTGTGTGTGTGTGTGTGTGTGTGTGTGTATGTGTGTGTGTGTGTTTTGATCTCCTCTTCTTAAAAGGACAGATGGCATTCCTGCCCACCGTAGTGACCTGTTTTATCCTATCTCCAAAGATAGTCCTATACTGAAGAACTTGGTTGGGGGTCGGACTTCATCCACTGAATTCTGAGGGGAAACAACTGAGCTCACCAGCACACTAGCAGTGGATTCTGTAAGCTGCATACCCGTTGAATTAGATACTTTCAGGACTAAACCCATGAGTCTGATCCATCTTTGAAATTGCAGGAATAAAATTCACACCCTACAGTCACCAAAAGGAATCAAACCTTCTGAGTACTTCACAAAACTCAATGGTGACCCAATCATTTTAAAAGTTGGCTGAATCACCTATGTAGTTCATAGGATAGAAGCCTGGAAACAGTGTTTGAAAGTCCAGGCTCCTGAAAATGTATGAGGCAAGTCCTTTGCCTTTACTCTACAAAATCCCTGCATGGAGGATAATCATGTCCCTGCTTCTCAGGGTAACCTACCTGTTCGTACCAATTTGCATTTGTGCTTAGATAGAAGCGACATTGGTGGAGAGACGTACCTGTGTGCGATAAGAATATACACTTTGGAAAGAAAGTGGGTCAAGTTGAGAGAAGCCATCTGTCAGAGCGTGTTTTGGCCAAAGGAAAACATAAGAAGGGTACTTACAAAAGAGGTTGAACTATCGTAGCCCAGGGGTACCAACAGAGTTCTGTGGAGTCCAACTGTCACCCTTCTTCCCTGGTTATGTAATTGCTCAAGTTAGATGCACAGAATGTTGAAATAGAGGTGGAGTACAAAAAGAAAAGTCAAGCATTACAAACCTCACTGTCAGGATTTGAAACAAGGACAAGGCCGCAGCATTCAATTCAAGTATTGTTATGTAGTCAACCTTTAAAGTATTTAGTGCTTTTTAGATGGCAGAGTATAAGGTCAATATTGTAGATAGTAGATATTTTAGCAAGTGTCTTTTTCACTGAAATTTTTAGTATATGGTTTCACATGAATAATTTTTCTGACACTGCAATATACTAAAGGCTTTTTGTGGGTATTTTTTTTGGTTGTTGTTTTATTGTTTTGTTGCTCATAGAGCTTGAATTCAGGGTCTGGGCGCTGTCCCTGAGCTTTTTTTGCTCAAGGGTAGCACTCTACCACTTTGAGCCACAGCTCCACTTACAGTTTTTAGGAGGTTATTTGGAAATGAGACTCTCACAGACTTTTCTGCCCAGGATGGCTTTGAACCACGATCCTCAGATCTCAGCCTCCTGAGTAGCTAGGATTACAGGCATGAGCCACCAGCACCCAGCTTTGTTTTTTGTTGTTCTTATCATTGTTGTTGTTGCTTTAATTTTATCCTAACAAAATGTGTTGTTATATTGTTTGTGAATCATGCCTTCTTTTCATTCACAAATACAGGTTACAGGAAATTAGTGTGTCCCCAAAGTCACCATTATTTTGTGCATTGGTGTCCAGTATATTTACTTTGCAATTTCCTAGTGTACAATTTGGCTGAACACTTTCTGAGTCACTGAGGTTGGTAAGGCCTGATGTTTGTTATTCTGATCTTGCTCTCAACCTCCAGAACTACTACTACATCAGCTGTCATGAACCAGCTCTCACTCTGAGCTACTTTCATACACACTTGTCTTGATAAGTGTCTAAGGGTGGTTCTAAAGAGCTTTATCTTTGAGGTTGTGATTTCTCCTGTTGCAGTGGGTAAGACTTTAATACATCTGTGCTCACACATCTATAAAGTAAGGAGAAAAGAAAAGCAAGAGCTAAACTTCTGATAAGTGGGGGCATATGTGGATATATAATCCATTCTTTTCTAGCAGACATCTTCATTTAATATCTATCAGCCTGCATTGTCTTCTTTAGATATGAAATAATACTTTATGCCATCTCCTACTTTCTCTTCTCTGGATTAAACAAGGCTCTGAGATTTGATGCCCACCCTTTATTTTCTTGTCTAATCATGACTTTTGCTTCTTAATATTTTAATAATGGAGACATGATTATGAAATGTATGCACAAACTACATATGTTACAGTTCCATGACAACGCATATATACTTATAGTATAGCTCCTTCTTTAAACACAGTGTTTTCTTCCTGCTGGAAAGATTTCTTGTGCTTCTTGCATCCACCTTTCCAACCTACCCTGAGAGGTAGCACTCTTCCTTCTCTCATCAGGAAGCATTTTTGTAGTCATTTAATTATGTAATCATTTTATTTCACCATGAAGTACTTCAAGCTATTCTGAAACATTTTAGAAATGCATTCGCGTGGCATATGTTTCTTTTGTGACTATTTTTTGCCCAATATAATGCTTTTGAGACACATCCACATCATAATATATTTGAATAGTTTGATTCTTCTGCTTCTTATTTTTCTTTATGCTATTATATTGCGTAAGTACACCACAATTCATTTATTCATTCTCCTGTTAATCAGCATTTGGGGTATTTCCAGTTTGGAACTGTGATAAATAAGTTTCTATAAATATCCTTGAATATAAAGGATCTGTTTATCTTGAGTAAATATCTAGACGTGGAGGTGGTAAGCCATGGGACACATTGTACACGTAAAAGCCAAAACATTTTCAAAAAATTTAAGATATATTAATATATGAGTTCTGATTATCTTTACCTCTTTCTCACTTTTATCAGCCTCAACCTTTTTGATTTTAGCCTTTCAAGATGATCTAACTTGCAATTAATTTTCATTTTCCTAGTGTCAATGTTTTTGAACATTTATGATATGCTTATTGGCTATATGTTTATTTTTCATTGTGAAAAATATTTTTCCCATTGTTTATAATTGGATTTCTTGTCCTTTCTCATTAAGCTGCAAGAATTCTTGCATTCTGTATACAAATATGTTCTGGAATGTTCCCTATTCTTCCTACTCAATGGTTTGAAAATCATGGCTTTGGATTTGGGAAGGACAGAGTGGAGAACTGGCTCTCCTTTTCACACATGTTATTATTCTTAGCATGGTCTGTTTCTGGGTCTACTATTTATTAATGAATTGCACATAGTTATTTCTGGAGAAAACCCATATAATTTTTCTCTGACCCTGACCCTAAATTTCACCACATGACTCTTCTTGCAGGAAAATGTTTATAAATTTATGACTGATGAAACACAAGGAAAATAAAGTAAGAAACAGGGAAAATTCCGTTTTCCTAGTTTTAAGATGAACAAATCACAGGAAGATTGAAGTCTGACAAAGGCAAGGTCAAAAAATTTTATAGCCACTTTCAGGAGAAATTTTCAATTTAGAAGAAAAAATAGAAAATAACTCCTTAAATAGCTTTTGCATCATTTCATGTGCATATTGGCCATTCATATCTCTTCCTTAGTGAAATGTCTGTTAAAGTCCTTTCAGATAAACAAATGAATAATTATCTTGGTTTATATATGTCACACATATACATGCACTAAAATAAATCGTTGTTCATCTGAAATTTAATTTTAGCAGGGTGTCTTGTTTTATTATTTGACAAGCCTAGCAACAGCACAAAGTGAGAACTCTGATCAACCTGAAACCATCTTTAAATATTTTACAGTTTTGCTAAGTTGGGCTCCGAAATAGTTTAGAGTATTTTATGGGTGTTCAGCTGATATCCTTGCTTTATTTAAAAAAAAATTGTAATTTCATTTTGAGATCCTTCAGACTAAATCATTTGAGCTTCACACTCGTTGTGTAACATTATTGGACTCCCTTAATGAAATTATAACTCAGGCAAGATATTTCATTCTCTTGTAGTAAATTAGCTTGGCCTGTGAGGGAACAGCGGGGCCAAATCCCTCTCCGGGTTGATTCTTCTTGTTTGGTAGAATGAAGAAGGAGCAGGTATTTCATATTTGAGTTATTTATTGTTCTCTTTGTGTGAATGCTATATTGTTGCCTGTCCCTCCTGGAAACAACAGCTGTTAACAGGCTTCTGGATGAATTTCAATGTGAACTCCTGGCCTCCAGAAAGCTCAGCTAAAGAGAAAAACCTGCTCAGGCTCACAAGAGAAGGCACATGCACTAAGCTGGGTCCGGATGCCTAAGGGCTAAGGACACGTAAAACCACCAGCGAGAAATCACGTTTATATCAGGGTATACAATACAAAAACAGGAGCACCGAGATACACGGGTCTCTTCTGTAATAACAAGCAGGCCCGAAGCCGTGTTACAAACACAGTAAACTCGCTAAAACATCAGCCCTCCGGTAGGGACACCACCAATAGGAGATGAACACGGCCCCAAAATAGTACAACAAAACCCATGAGAGAGCTACCAGAAACAATTCCATTGCAAGTCTGCACCAAATTGGATAAATATTGGTAACATTCCCCTCTATAGCCTTCAAATAAATACCATGTTAGGTCTCACCGAAACGGTGGAGAGTGGAAACCTGCGGGGCATGGGTGCAGCCACTGGAACTGGGGGCGCCCCTGTGCTGTCCCCCCCTCACTGACTCTTCTTCTGTAGACATGGGTTCTGCATGAAGAAGGACACCCACTTCTGTGGTTTCCTGTAGTCAATGGAAAGCTTTAAAACAAGGAGCTTTTCTATAGGAGCCCTTACAATTCCTGCCATCTCCCTGTTTAACGGAGAAGTTGCTAGAGCTATGGTACAAACAGGTTTTATTGACCATGAGTAGTATTCCCAGACATAGTCCATTTCTCCAATTGTGTTCCACCCTGTGTCTAGAACCCAGGATCCTGGCCTTTGTCCAGGGCAACTAGGGTTGTGCAAAGGGTAATCAATAGTGTCGGTTACACGCCCACTACTCTACCACACACTGTCCTCCATCCTTACTCCCTCCTGATTCATTTATTTATTTATTGCTACTATTGGGGTCTGTCCACTTGCTAATCAGGTCCTTTTACACGTGAGCCAAGCACTCAGTCCTTTATGCATTAGTTATTTTTTAGAAAGGGTGTCATAATTCACACACACACACACAGCTAGTCCCTCATCCTCCTATCTATACTTCTCATATGTTTGTGATCACGTGTATGTCTCACCATTACCGACTTGTCTGAGATGGAGTCTCACTAACTTTTTGCCTGGGCTAGCTTTGAACTTTGATCCTACCAAACAGTGCCTCCCAAGTAGGTGGGATTACAGGCATGAGCCTTTGCCCCTCCAGGCTGAGTACAGTGCCCTTTACTCTCTTCTCTTCCTTGCAGTACTTAAGCTCAAACACCTCCTACATGTTGTTTTTGGCGATGATTTTCATTAAGTCTATTTTTTCCAGGCTGGGAAGGTGGCTCAGTGGTAGAGCACTTGCCTTGCATGCATGAGGCCCTGGGTTCAATTCCTCAGCACCACATAAGCAGAAAAAAAAAGCCAGAAATGGCTCTGTGGCTCAAGTGGTAGAACACTAGCCTTGAGCTGAAGAGCTGAAGGACAGTGCTTAGGCCCAAAGTTCAGGCCCTACGAACAGACCCAAAAAAAAAAAAAAAAAGTCTATTTTTTTCCCCTGCATTTCAAATGCTCCAAACAAATTCTCCACAAGTGAGGGAAAAGGGCTTTGGTTTTATTCACACAATTCTGTCTTCATTATGCAATTGTTTTACCTGTGTTTGTTCCTCCCTTGTGTAATCACCTTGATAGGGAACTGCCCTGGCCCACACACTGGTAAGTAGAGGCAAGGTCACTATCCTGAAGACAATCACTTAAAGTTTTGAGGGACCTGGGCCAGGAAAAGGAAAAGAATGATGGAAATCATAAAGCCGGAAATTGAATAGAGACAGGAATTTGATTTGGAGGGGGAAAGAAAGCTGTCAGAATTCAATACAAGACTGAGCCGGAATGAAGTGTCTGAAACCAAAACGACCTTTGTCCCTTCCCATGTCCAGCCCCTCATTAATAAGAACATATGAAAGCATTGAGTTGTTCTGAAACTCGGGGTCAAAAGCGCATTTCCTGTTCTTCTTTTCTTTCCAGACAAAGTCAGCATACTGTCAACCTTCCTCGCTCCTTTCAAGTACCTAAGTCCCGGCACCACCCACACGGAGGATGAAGACAATCTCAGTAAGCAGCTCCCCTTTTCCAAACTTATGGAGAGGCCTCTCATTAATAGCAGAGTCTTCTATTGTCCCCCAGCACTGAGCCTTGGGGGGGGGCCCACAGGAGAGGGAGGATGTGGTTTACTGGGGCGGGGGCTCTGCTCTTACCTTCCCAAGAAAAGCATCTCACCCTACAGTCTCCACCTCATCTACAGTCATGAGCACGCACAGTGGGGTCTCATCTGCACATAGAGGTCTCTCCCGCCCCCAACCTGCAGTCCTTCTGAGAAATCCAGCCTTGCCTGGAACACTCTCACCTGCAGACCATCCTCACCCAGCTCCCATCCTCGCCTACAGACCATCTCCTTCTACCCAAAGCCCATCCTTACCGGGCTTACATCCCATTCTCACCTGGGCTTCCTGCCCTTGCCTGGAAGTCCGCCCACCCTCACCTGGAGTCCTTTCTCTTCCTGGTGTCCCATCAGTTCCCGGAGGAGAGGACCACACTGGGGTAATGTTGCCATGACACACACTCCAGAGATTGCAGGAAATGACTATCTCCTCCTCTCTTTACTGTGTTGTCCTCTTCAAACCAAATAAGAGGAATGGTTATCATGTCTTACTTCATGGTTTATATTATTATTTCGCAAGGAATTAGTTGAAGGAGAGCTCTTTTGCTGAAAGATTTCAGGTGCAAGAAACTGCAGAAGGGTTGAGTTAGGGAAAGAAGGCTGAGTGGTGTTTTCTGTCCAGATCAATGAGGAGAGCGCAGAGAAGAATCCAGACTAGACATTTTTGAGGTATGTGCATGTGAGAGAGACAGACAGACAGACAGAGACAGAGACGAGTCAGAGAGTCAGAAAGATAGAGAATATCCCGGGTGAGTCTGGCTTCCACTGCACTTGCCATCTTTCTCATGGCATATTGTCAAGCATTTAAAAGGGGGCCAAACCTTCTAAACCCTCTGAACACCACCTAACAGATGGGTCTCCTTTTTAACTGAAATGAGCTAAGAATGTGCTTCTTGGCATGAGACCAGGAGGAAAAAGGTGTTTACTGATGGTTTCTAAGATTGTTGGGACAGAGAGGAAATGGTGGCAAGGTTTTTTACTGGCATTCTGTCCAGGCCACCCTCTGCTTTTAAGAATATAACACTTCTGAAAAGAAAGCCAGACAATTAATAATGCTATTGGAAATGGAGATCATTTCATTGGATTATTCAACAAAACATCATAGAGGCGTCAAAGATAAGAAATGAAGAGAGTGCTGGCAACCCTCTGCTGGGCCCCTCCTTTTTTTTTCCAGCAGGGAAGGGCAGGGGAAAGGTCCCAGGGGGCCCAGATGGGCTTTTCACCCAGACCTAAGGAGTCCTTTCTCACGAAGACTTGTGGACGAAAGCCTGATTGTCTCTATTCCCTCACAATCCAAACTAGAAAAATCTCCAGATCCATCAAGTTATTGCAGGTTACTTCAGAGATTTTAAAAATCATATTCTGAACATTTGTCAGCTTGATGAGTGGACAGTGGTTTTTGGTCATGCACACGGAGATGACTCTAATTCTGTTTCCTGGAGCTGAATCTAGTCTTCCTTCTAAGAAAAAAAAAATAAGTAGAGGAATTAGCAAGTAAGGGCTGTAGGAAGTATTGGGAATAGAGCAAATGGTTTCTGACTTGGAGTAACACAGTAGCCACAGCACCCAGAGGTTCAAGACTTTGGGAAATAAACAACAAAAGCCCAATCCAGAACCATTAGAAAGCTACTGCCCTGTCCTGAGGACATTGGAGATTGAGAGTTTTGCGTGCAGGCAGGTACACACACACACACACACACACACACACACACACACACACACACACACTTTCCTCCCCACTGAGACAGCAGCACCAAGGCCCAGAATATTTCTGGCCCAGGGCAAATTGAGACAGGAATTTCACCAGTCAGAGCCTCCATTTGTGAAACAAGACCAGTCAGTCACTTCAATCATGGAGCTGAAGAAACGCAACCACATGGAACACAGAAAATGTTTGATCACAGTTAGCTAATACTCAATACTCACCATTAGAGCTATTTTTCCTCTAGTTTAGTGCTCAGTGGATAAAAACCTACAGATAAAAAATAACTTTTAATTGTTTATTATATGTTCAAAGGCTTTTGAATGCTCAGGAGACCTCATTGTTAATCAGTAGTTTCGTTTTCCTCCTTTGGTGTGTGTTGTAAATTTAGTTAGAAAATTATTTTCACAAGTTGCTCAATGACCAACACTCATGAATTGGGTTTGCCTTCATAGTTCTAAATATGCCAATAAAGTCATACCAATTTGCTACCCAGATGCCACTGGAAACTGGGAAGAGACGTTCTGTGCGTGTGACACGAGTATGTGGAATGTTTGTATTAAGTGTGTATGTCTGTGGCATGTGTGCAGTGGAGGCATGTGTATACTATGTTGTATCTGTCTGAATGACTGGCGATGGTGCCTGTGTCTATATGTGGTTAGGTGGTGTGTGTGTGTGTGTGTGTGTGTGTGTGTGTGTGTGTGTGTGTGTGCACGCGTGCACGCCATGTGCATGCATGGGTGGCCTTTGCGCACATTTGTGCTGTACAAGTGTGTGTGCACGTGTGTGTGTGGAAGCAAAGATGGGTGAGGAAGGATGTGCTTCCTCATCATATCTCATGCTGCACCATCCCACAGATCTAGTGTTGTCTAAGCTGCTGAAGCATCTCAGCACTGTGTGAACTTGAGTATCAGAGCTGGCCAAACTGCCCTGAGCTGCCAGATTGCTCAGAACCCAGCACATATCACAGCTTTTGCCTGGACTGTGGGCCTCCCTATTGAAAGGCACTAAGCTGGAGGAAGGAAAGAGGTAACAGGACACACCCACTATGCCCTGCACCATGGGATCAAGGCTCGTATCTTATTGTTATCGTGTAATATCTGTTATCAAGTCTTCCAGATAGGCCTCAAAGCACACACAGGTGCCCTTGAGCTCTGGTGTAGGAGTTCCCATGCCGCTGTGTCTGCTTATCCATGAAGATTGTACACACAGAGCACCGACTGGCCCCAGAAAGCCATCTTCTGCCCATGGCCCAGTCTGATACATTGCAATGCCCTCACAGGACCGGCAAACGCATGAACCGTGCATGCTGCCTGGCCCCAGGCTCCCACGTCCACCCTAGCCTGGCGTGTTCTCCTGACCCTTTCTTTATCAAGCCCCTCCTACTGCTTGGCTGGAAAACCCAGACCCCTGCCATTCTCCTACTCCTAAGTCCTGTTGTCTAGGGGAAGGGCTGTTCTTTTTTTTTTTCTTTTAACACTGGGGCTACTTGGCAGCAAAATAACCTTCACCAGAAACAATATTATCTCTGCAAATGTAGCGTGGTGCAGCGGATGGCTGGCTCTTCAGAGCCCTCCTGACCCACAGCCACGCAGTATCATTATTAGCGATGCATACACTCCCAATGATGCCGGCCTAGCCCGAGAGGGGAAGCCAGCTGTGTGTAATGACCAAGCAGAGGATGCTGGCCTGCAACTCAGCCAGCAGAAGAAGAAAGGGCTTGTGAATAAACCCGTGAGCGAACACAGCCTTCGGCACACAAGTCCAAGTGGTGGGGACGCTGAGATCCCATGCACAGAACACCCCACACACACTACCAATCTACCTCTGATATTGCCACTTCCAAAGGATGGCAGCCCAGGTCACCAGACTGAATCAACACTAAGGAGTTTACTTCGTTTCAGACACCACAAGTTTAACCACAGCTATGATGATAGGAAAGTTGGCTCTTTCCCTTGAAAAAGGCAATTCTTTTATGCATTACACCTTTAAGCCTAGAACTACATTCACTGACACTTTTTTGTCAAATGAGATAATGCACTTATGAGGCTCACAAGACGAATCCATGGATGAGAGAAGCAGAATGGAAATAATCTTATTTTACATTTTTCCATACAGCTACTTCCCTGGCTTAGACATTTTCTTTTAGTGCCTGACAGCAGTCTTCAAATTGCTTGTGATCATTCTATCGCTGCTGCTTGTGGTATTTATCTAATGTAGTTTGAAGTTACTTGCCAGCTTCTTTTTTTTCTGGTCTAATTTCCACAATGGAAGGATATGTGCGGCTCTCTGAAAAGACCTTGGAGAAGTCATAGTGCAGAGAAGTCTCACTTTCGGGAGGTGGAGAATTAGGTAATTTGTCAAGGCCGAAGGAAGGCGCGCACAGCTATGGGCATTCGAGAATGCCGCCCTCCTGGTCTCCCTGGAGATAGATTTCATTAGTGAAAGTGTTTGAAATCCAGATCAGGACTTTGCCATGGGCAAAGGAAAGGGTATGAGCCCCACTGAGACCAGGTGCAGTCAGGGGGAGCTGCCTTGTCCCTCCCCCCCCCCCCCCAGAGCCTCATTCTGTTTCCTTCTCTGCTTACCTACCATTCTCCTGTAGGCCTGTGGTTTGCGAACACACACACACACACACACACACACACCATTGATAAAGACTCATCAAAGTCAATATTTAGCTGGAAGCCAGTGTGTGTGTGTGTGTGTGTGTGTGTGTGTCAGAGTCAGAGAGGGAAGTTGAAGATAGTAAGACTTCGGATGAATTCTGACATTAGCTGCCTTAACAAGGAGGTCTGTGGTCTGCCCCTGAGGAAGAAGGCCAGTTCCTTGCAGAGTTAATTCCAGCTCTAACATGCTATGACACTATGAGTTATGATTGGCAAGAATAATAATTATTTGGGAGAATGAATTCCAGAGTGGAATTAAAGGATTCATTAAGTCTTATATACTATTATGAGCCACCCACTGGAACTGTGCCAAGTGTACAACCAATGCCTTTTCAGAACCAAATCACTTTTATCACATAGCTCCCTCAAGTCCTGTCATCTCAGAAGACACTGAGAATTCAAGAGTCAGTCCACAGTGCTCCCCGCCTGGCCCCAGTGGGCAGGGACAGCTGACTTTCTGCTACACCACCATCCTAACAACGGAGCACGCCCTTGAGAGATCATGCTAGAACCTGTAGACGCT